TCTCTTCTCTAATGCCATATTTTTCGCTATACCTGCATCCAATTCCCCTTGAGTGATTTGCAAGGAGAAAGAGGGCCCATCGAAATTGAGAATTTTAGTGGGAATACCTCTAGTAATCAACTTGCTGGGTGTATTCTCAAACATTGTGAGAATACGCTTGGATACTATTGATTAGAGAAAATTTGGTGAGTAGAGATGTTGAGAATAAGCAAAAATAGCGAAAATCAAAAAAAATTAATTACTTACCACACTAACTATAGAAACAAATGAGTAAAATCTAGAGGAGATTAGGGTTTACGCCGAGATTGGGGGAAGGAGGAAGCAACGGTGTGGGTGAGGAGGTTTCTCTGGTTTGGAGCGTGGTTTTGAACGTGTATTGAGAAGTTGTATGAAAAACGGTAACTATGAGAGAAAAATCAGAGAATGGAAAGAGAAAAAATAAAACATACTCCCTCCGGCCCAAAATAAGTGATTTTTTGGCCTTTTTCTTGTGGTCCAAAATAAGTAATTTTTCCAGATTTCAAGAATGAATTAATTGTTATGAAATAATAAAAGAAGAAGAAGAGTATTACAGAGAAAAGTAGAGGGAGAGAATTCTTATTGATTTGGGATGAATTACAATAGAATAGAACCCTCTATTTATAGGGAGAGGGTGACTTGGCCACCAAGCAATGAACCCTAGAATCTCTCTAAATATAAACATTCACCATAAATACAATTCTATTTATAACACTCCCCCTTGAATGTCTATTCAACAGATAATGTGCCTCGTTAAAACCTTAACTAAAATAAAACCCAGTGGGAAAAAAATTCTAGAGAAGGAAAAAGAGTACACATATCTAATAATACGCCTTTCGGTTGCCTCGTTAAAAACCTTGCAAGGAAAACCCAGTGGGATAAAATCTTGTACGGGAAAAAGAGTACAACGCGTATTAACTCCCCCTCATGAGAGCATCACTTCACATCCTTAAGCATTTGCATTCCAATATTGTGCATCATCTTCAAAAGATCTTTGGTAGAGATTTGATGAACAAATCAGGCATATTAACTTGAATGAATATATTGCACCTTGAAATCATTATTCTTGATAGAGATGAATTGTCTTCATATGATCTTGTTGGAATCGTCAGTTCAATATCTTCATATAGAGGTGAAATCTCTTGCTATCATATTATCATGCTTATAGTTATAGCAAGATACATTTGTGCACAAATTGAACTGAGGATGACCATGAATTCTATATGATTTAAGCAATTTAAATCCTTCAAGGATTGTCATATAAGTCATATAATAGACTTTAATTAGATGCATATCAAGTTTTCATGTCATGCTAGACAAATAAGATATCGAAAACTAATTGCACATATCATTGGCTTCATACTTTCAAGTGTTTGAACTGAAGGTCCAAAACTATATGTCTTTCGTATGAAACAAATTCTATTCGAATTGTGTCTCTTTCATTTGGCCAATATTTTTGTGTCTATATTCGACAGACTTAAGATCCTCATCTATACTTAGCGCTAATATTGATGTCGTCGACGAACATTTTATATCGGTTCCAGCTTTATTTTCATAAAGATATGACATAGAGATCTCTTCATTCATATTTTCAGGTACCTGAATCTCTCTTGAGATTTTATAAAGTGTTATGTCATGTGATCTTCTAGATCACTTGCCTCCTTTATTATGATCATTTTGATCATTTGCTCATCTTCTTTATCAAAAGTTTATTTGAAACCGATTTGCTATACGCTTTAAGTGTACCATAGACTTTGTCCTTCTAGGACTTAATAGGAGCATTTGCAATGAGAATATAGTTACTTTCTTTAGGTCAGCAAATGCGTCTGGCATGCTTTGCAATATATTGCAAATGAATTATCCTTTATGAACTTCAAGTTCATATTATTTATTCGGGGATATAGATGTATAAATGATAATTCATTCCATGTAACTTTTTCTCAACTGTTGTATCTTGTCTCCCCCTCATGTTAGAAAAACTAACTTGTTTCCTCAACTTTGAGAACCCATCTTTGTGCGTTATGGTGTTAATCAAAATATACACCGCACATCAATAATAATGAGATGGAATTATTTGGTTCCTGAACCTGAAAACACTTGTGAGGGGAGAATGTAATATACTTTCGTATATAACCTATATCAAACTGATATAGATAACTTTGTTCTCATAAGCAATAGTTTAGCTATTAAGTGAAGGCACTCAATAAATCATTTTGCTAAACCAACTGTGATGTAAGCCAACTTATCAAGATAAAGTATCTTGAATAGGAAATCTGGAAATTATGCTCGAAATTAAATTATTGAGCACGTTATCTCGCAAAACACCATGTTGCGGGTTATTAATAATCGCACATGTAACCATCTCATAGATGCATCTTATGTGGTATACATGGCTGATGAATGGGCCCATATTCACCTTTGATATTTTCAGCATTCATGGGATTCAATCCCAATTTTAGTTGGTATATTTATTAATGAGAACAGGCAACATAAGAGAATTCGTAAAGAACTTTCTAGTTCTTTAATATTTACCTATGTGAATTCTCTTTTATTTTTGCACATCATACTTAAATTGATATGGGTAAACCAATTATGCCAACTGAATAAATTATCAATATTGATAAACTTCAGATTTACACCATGACGTGTGCAATTATCAATAAACTCCAAGTTTATTATGATATGGATTTTTATATCAATAAACTTCTCTTTATTGTGGCATTCTTTTGTTTGTGTAGTACAAACTGGAGAATAAAGCGGGTAGCTTTTCACATACATATTACCTTGCTACAAGTTGTAGTAATAGAAGATATTAAATCTTTCCTTTATTTATAGTTTCAGTATGACCAACCGGCATTCTTTTGTTTGTGTAGTACAAACTGGAGAATAAAGCGGGTAGCTTTTCACATACATATTACCCCGCTACAAGTTGTAGTAATAGAAGATATTAAATTTTTCCTTTATTTATAGTCTCAATATGACCAACCGCTTTCGCGAATACTTTAGAAACTCAATAAGTTTCTTTGAGACTTGCTACAACACAATACCTTATTGGTAATTAATTGTGTTTCTCCAAAATAATATAATTGGCTCTTGCAGAGTTCTCAATTAATTTTGTAGTACCACATATTCATCAACACCCATATGGTGAATATCTCTTTTAAAGAGAAAGTTATACCATTATAGTCATGGTCAGAATTATATGCAAGATCTGTTTCTTGCATTAACGTTGTCTTTTAATAATCACAATGCCAAAATATTTTGGCGTACAATAAGTACGTGACCAATGACCATTTATGCCATAATAATAGCGTTATTTTCTTATTTCCTCTCAAACCTCCTTCTAGAGGTGAGTGTGGTATATTCACTACCACTAGCACGTTGATATTCTTTGAAGAATGAATATGTATTCATAAATCAGATGTTGTCACATTCACATCATGAATGGACCATAATCATCTATATGTGCTTTACAAAATCTCATGTCAAATCGATGACAAATATTTTTCACAGAGTATTACAGAGAAAAGTATAGGGAGAGAATTCTTATTGTTCTCATTACCACAAATAATGACGATTATAATTTCGTCTATTGCCACGTCCATATCCATTGATACATTCATAGTAATAATTTTGTCTTCTTTCAAACTTATCACAGACTGCTATCACATTCTCTTAAGGGAATGAGAATGGAGCAAATTCACTGGGACGGATTTTCAATTCTTTGCCCACAATCATACATGAATTTGATCATGGCGAGGCATAGAAATTTTACCACTTCAGGTGGTTATAATTTCTTACAAACTCCATTAGAGTTATAATCAAACTTTGTTGTCTTTGCTTGTATATAAAATCAAATTATAGAATTTCAAGAATTTAAAAGAGAAAAATAAAGTAAGATACCTTAAATCCAGAATTTAGTCATGAAGGAAGTTCATGGAACAATTGACAATCATTATGCTCAATCCCAAAGCTTCTACTCAATTGGTTAGAGTCTCGTACTGATAACGTGTTATGAAATAATAAAAGAAGAAGAAGAGTATTACAGAGAAAAGTAGAGGGAGAGAATTCTTATTAATTTGGGATGAATTACAATAGAATAGAACCCTCTGTTTATAGGGAGAGGGTGACTTAGCCACCAAGCAATGAACCCTAGAATCTCTCTAAATATAAACATTCACCATAAATACAATTCTATTTATAATATTAATTACTTTTTTCCTACATTGTCCTTGGAGTAAATAGTGTTGGAATATGTGTCAGGAGTGTTTATGTGAGATAGTAAATGTTAATATGGTCAATTTCATTGCTAATTAATGCTAAAAGGTAGATTTCTTAATCTGTGTGAAAACATCCAAAAAGTCACTTATTTTGGACCGGAGGGAGTAGCGTATTATGTGGCTTAAGTGTAGGATATAACCAAAATTAGAAATTTTGCTATAAACCATAAAAGGTATCTATAGAATATAATTTATTTAAATGGTATTTATTTAAATAAATAAGGTGTTAACCTTTGCTATAGGAGGTAAAAATTCTAAAAAGATACTTTTGAAGAGAAGCATGAAAAAGTATTAACTTCTTTTGAGAAGCACTTTTGAGAAAAATATACTTAGAAGCACTTTTTAAAAGCTTGGCGAAACACTAAATTGTTGCTTAGAAGTACTTTTCAAAATAATTAGCCAAACACATGCTTCTCGCCAAAAATACTTTTTAAAAAAAATTCTCGAAATAAACTGATTTTTCCAACTTGACCGTGCACGGGTTTTATAACGTTGAATCTCTTATTTAATACTTTCAATTCCGTTCCACTGTTTTCAAAAAGAACGACAAATTGAAAGAGGACTATAGGAGTATCAAAACGATTAATTTCATCACTACTCCACTCTGTAGTGTATATTTACACTTAAGCACATTATCATGTAAAATGTAAACGTTGACATCGAATTCTAAACATATTAATAAGCTGCACGGAAGGGGTACTATATGCATAATTTCTAATAACTAATTAAAGGACAAACTCTTTCAATCAAATGGTGCAGTTAAGGAAGTCATTATTTTTATGAAAAGTAACAGCATCAGTAACAGCTGCATAACATATGAGACAGGAAATCATCAAATACCAACTATTGTACTAACAATACCAAATATGGATAGAGTCAAATTCTTTCCAAGTATATCTCAGTCGGGCTTCACAAGGTCCAGCCTGGACAAAATCCATTCAGAAAGATCAACCAAGTTGCTTGCATACAGTAACTTCAACAAGAAGATGCTTCGTTACGAATCCCTAAACACAGCTCAAGGCGACTCACTCTCTCTGCCAGACCGGTGGTTATTATTCTCACCTTCATCCTCGTCATCATCTGCACGGTTCCTCTGGTACTTGGGACTCGGGCTGCGACTTCCACCGTTAGCTTCAGCAGGGCTGTCCTCATCCCTTTCAGGTGCAGGGCTATCCCCTCGTCTAGGACTTAAAGGACTTGCACTTCTCTCTCTGGGGCTTTGGCTATAGCTACCTTCTTCTCTGGTCGTCGTCCTCGTTGCTTCCATAGGGCTTCCCTCTTCGGGTGTTGGGCTGTTCTTCCTTGTCTTCGGTGGAGGACTCAGACTAGGACTTGGACTAGCCTTCCTTGGCTCAGGGCTCCTACTGTAGCTTCTTGACCTCTTCTCTATGTCAACTTTCCCTCTCCTTGGAGCAGGAGATCTTGACGGACTGAAAGAAGAAAACAAAGAGGATGAAGTTCAATATTTGCTAATACTGATGGCCAAACCTCAACATGCAAAAACTGAACCTTTGCAAGTGAGGCCATGGGCAAACACCAGTTAAGGTTTGCAAAGTACAGTAAAACAACAAGAAAATACTCACCTATAGCTTCGACTTCTGCTGTAACTTCGACGACGAGGAGAACGTGAACGTGACCTTGACCTGACAGGCGACCGTGAGTAGCTCCGATCCCGTCGACTTCAATGAACATAACAAAGTCAAGAAACAGAAAGGAAAAAATATTAGGAGGGATGAAAATAGAGAAGCAATGCTTCCCAGGAGTTCAAGTACCTGAGTTTTTTAGGACTATTTGGGCATTTTTTTTCTATATGGCCTCTTTCTCCACACCGATAACATTTATTCTTCCAATCCCCAGCTTTGCAATCTCGAGCCCAGTGACCTTCAAGGCCACAGTTGAAGCAGCGGCCTGACCCAGGAGCAGGTCCTTTGCCAAGATACTCACGCGAACCACCAGGTCCACGTGGCACCTAGAGGAAAAACCATTATCAGAAGTCTGAACTGACAGATCACAGGTGAGTCATGGATGTTACTTCACCAAAACTAATTGCTCGAAGAATTCATCAGAGACGGAGTTCAACAACTTTATTAAAATAAGGTTCAGGCGGCAATGAACTACACTTAGCGCACTTTTGTTAAACCAGGAAAGAAATCTGATGGTGTGTTGAAACAAGAAAGGCCTCTCTTCCCTTTTCTCGGGCATTATATGTTTTTTATTTTTCCGTGGTGTGTGTGGGGGTGGTTGGGGGGGGGGGGGGGGGGGGGGGGACAGATAGCAATAAGAAGTTCAGCATCTACAAATCAATCAACTTAAGGTGGAGTAAATAGAAGACAATATAGGACAGTACAAAAAGACAGACGAGCGGGGGAGCAGGGGGTTTTATCAGAAACAGCAAAATTGACAGGGAGGAGAATTCCAGGAAATACAAGTACAGAATACTTACTCCCTTAGCAAATTCCACAATTATGCGGCGGCCATCAATGTCCCGCCCATCTAAATAGTATCTTGCATCATCAGCATCTCGAGGATCACTAAATTCCTGTTCGAAACACGTGTGGCAAACAAAAGTTTTTTTGGGGGGCAGGGATGGTTAAGGGGTCAAACGCAGAAAGTAACGAAAACAATAACACCATTAGATAGAGAGGGAAATCAAAGAGAGGATACATACTACGAAGGCATAGTCGTGCTTCATGTCCACATCACGTACTCTGCGGAAATGGTTGCCAGAAACAGTAAGGCCATCATTACTTACTTAAGCACAGGAAGTGCATGAACACTTGCCCCTCAAGACGAACTAAACACCAGTTTGAGATTGTTGGAATTCCATAAAAATACGCAAAGACATTATAGAAAGAACCACCAAAGTCTCCTAAACCGGGCAAGACTCCACCAAGGCCATTACAGAAAGAATCACCGAAGTCTCCTAAAACCCGGCAAGACTTTCCATCAATTCCACCAAGGCCACCCTCTCAAGATTGACCTTCGGGCCAGGCAAATGCCTATAAACCGTCAACAAGATCATTCAAGTTAAACTCACAAGCATCTGGAACACATTTTCCTTTATATATAATAATTGATAAGATACCCGAGTAATACATATGCTTGGAAGGAAATTCCAACACAGAGATGGGAGACTTAAAAATGTAAACCTCCACTGACTCCCTGCTAGTGTGCTTAAACCAGTTGTGCAATTCTAAGGAGTTCCCACAGAGAACTATGAGTTATTGTCCAAGATCAGAACAAGATCAGAACTAGAGCTTTATGACATACAAATACAGGGAAACAAAGAGCAGGAAACTATCATCTAGCATATCATATAAATTGGTCCAAATAGAACAGACCAACGAAAAAAATGAAGGAAAAAAAACAAACGAAAAAAATGAGAAAAGGAGAGCAGAAATATCTCCGCCTGCACCCTCTTCCAATTTAACAAGCAAAGGTTATACATGGATTTGAGATCTCAAACTAAAACACTAAGGAACCAAAAATCTCAAGGACAAAAGGAAAGTTGTTCTTCCATTCTATTTTAAATGGAGCAACTTCAAGAAGAAACAGTTTGGGTAGGAATGAGTTGAACTTAGGCTAGATAGACAAAGTGCCCATTAGACAACAACCGTGGCGGACGCACGTGGTGGCAAGCTGGTTCAACTGAACCAGCTTCATCAAAAAATAATAATGTGTATATGTATAAATTACGATTAAATTTGCGTAAATTTTGTATAAATATTTTATTCGAACCCACTTGACAACTACTATTTACGACTAAAGTTATGTACTTCTAAGATTGAACCCGCTTGCACAAAATCCTAGGTCCGCCACTGGACAACAACGCAAGGAAAAGACTACCCAAGGTTTTCTAGGAAGGTCAACAAACAACATAACATGGTTGTAATAATTATTTATCCCTGCATTTCTGCAATTTCAGTTGCTCAATGAGAACTGGCAAACATTAAAAGCAGTAAGAAAGCAATGTACAATGTGGTGACCTATTCAAAGAAATGCATGATGCACAAAGATTATGGAAAAAGAATTACCTCCCATATTTACTGAATACACGCTCCAGATCACGTGAACGGGTCCGTGAAGACAAGTGGCCCACATAGAGACGAGTGCTATTTCCCGATCGATCATCATAACGAGGCATCTTTACAGCACGATTTTCAAACTGAAAACATACACAGAATGAAGATTAATGACTAAGTCAAGCATGCCAAAAGGTAATCTAAAGCAGCACTATTGCTGGCTAATAACCCCCCAAAAAAACAAGAAATCAAAACTAGCACATTGAGCCATTCTCTAAAATAATGTGGAAAACTAATGTAAACCCAAAAAGTGACGGCAAACTTATTTTGCCAAGAAGGACTTGAATTCACTGACACGCTTTTGGAAGGGTAAAGTCCAATCCACAGAGATAAATCATGCATAAACAAATCTGTTTAAGCTCTTCACAAAGAAAAAAGAAGAAAAAACCAACTATGTCCAACCTGACATTTTCAATTGACATAATCCAACTAAGACAACTTCGCACAAGTCAAGCAGAGGCTAACAAAACTAGTTAGATTTTAGGTACAATACTGAATTTTCTCAACCAATTTGCCCAAGTAATACCTCCTCCTACCCTCAAAAAGATAAGCCATAGTATGCTTCTTTATCAGCCAATAAGATGAGCTTTCCGGGAGTAATACTACCATAACATTCCATATAAAAAGATCCTAACATATTCCTTGTAGCAAATTTCCCCTTCCCAGAAACTGATATCAGCAGCTCAACAATATGTATAAAGAAAAGACTAAACTATAACTTTTTTTCCTACATCGAAAGCTTGCACCTCCAATAGGTACATACAGCGGATGGAGAAAAGCATGCATGTCAAATTGAAACTCAGCTCTATCCAAAAAACCAACCAAGAAAACACACACAGTAATCAGAACCAACTACCACAAATTCACATTGCTAGAAAATCATGAGCCTTTTCCAATCCAGTCTCAATGAAAATCCATAATCAACAATGTTAAGGGCAAAGGGCCAAAAAGAAGAATATAACTGCTAGAATTCGTCAACTGTTTAAGAAAACTGCAAGAAATCATAAAGCCCTTTCAACCTAATCTAACCCCACAACAAAATAAAAAAATTTGTATTAAAGGCTAAACTTCAGATTTTTATTGGGTCCACCGTGAAACGAAAGAGCCAATACTACCTAGAACTAATATTTAACCAAAAATTCACAACAACAGAAAAAGAATTAACCTATACAAATAAAACCAATAGTATTTCAGGCACAACCACCACAAATTCTCACTAATACGAATCCACAAGCCGTTTTCAGACAACAATTTTAGGGCACATCACAAAATGAATTAAAAAACAATTTCTTTTTCTCCTAACAATCTTTAAAACCATGGATAAACAGAGAAAGATTAAAATTAACTTATAAAAGAAAGAAAAATAATTACCTGAAGGGCGAAATTCGTTAGTAACACTGGTGGCTGCTTCTTTGAAACCCTGTTTGTAAAAAAGCGGAGACTCTTCAAGTTATGTGTATTTATTATCGGGCGTTTATCTTGGTTGAACCGACAGAAAAGGGAACGGTCCAGATTTACTGTTGTATATCGGAAGGTTAAAAAATATTGTGGCCCAAAATTCATGGCATACAGGCCCATTTTGTTGAGCCCAAAAGTGAAAGTCAAAAATAAATTTTAAAAAAAGTAAGGGCTGGGGAAAGCTATTGTTTTATATCAGAGCCAGGTTTCGATCCTGGGACCTGTGGGTTATGGGCCCACCACGCTTCCGCTGCGCCACTCTGATTGTTGTTGATCTTAATTCAGAATAGAATAAATTTACTTCTAATTTCACACACGTAATTTTGAACGAATAAGCTTCATCAACTGGTTCTATAATCTAGTCCTAATTAAACTGTAAGGAGATGAATTTTATTGCATACTATTGTTAACTTATAGATAACGAACTTGTTTTGTATACATAGAGGTCGATAGTGCACATATATTGTAACTTCAATAAATGATATTGATAAATCAATTTCCGAAGGAATAAAGCTCATTAGTTGACTCCAAATTCTAGCCGTAACTAGGGGTTCGTTGGTCGGTACGGTACGGTATTTAGATATTTCAGTTCGGTATTTTCGGTATTCGGTTTCTTAAAATGCTATACAAATACCGTACGTAATTAAATTCGGTATAGTTTGATTTTTCTCTTTTCGGTTTTGGTTTATTCAATTCGGTAACTTCGGTTTATTCGGTTTGAATACTAACAAGTGCATAGAGTCATAAACTATAATATTCTTAATTAAAATACTCAAAAGTACAAAACAGAAAACGTTTGTTTACAAAAGTTTTGTCCAAAATTAGCAAATATCAACCTAGAGAGAGAAAACTGCACATAAAGGAATAAATTCGATCATTAGAAATATCTTATACTTGTTTAGAGTTAATTGATGAACTTAGAGAATAAAGGAAAGTAAAATTTTGGTTTTTATATTTATGTTATAATTAATAACATGTGTATTGTGTGATATAATATATATTTCGATACGGTATCGGTATTTCGGTATTTCATTAAAAAATACCAAATACCATACCTAATACCATATTTTCTTAAAACTTAAACCGAATACCAAAATATCGAATACCAAATACCAAAATTTTCGATTTCGGTACGGTAATTCAGTATTTACCAAATACCAAATTCCAAAATATCGAATACCAAATTACCCCGTTTGACCAAGCTTCTAAAATAGGTAACCAGTTCCACTAATTGTGAGTAGTTACCCATAATAAACTCTTTTATATTGATACTACAGAAGTCAACCTATTAGAAAATAGGAATTTTTACACCCTATAGAAAAGCTTAATACCCTATTTATTTTAAATAAATACCATTTTAAAAAATTATATTATATAGCTACCTTTTACCCTTTATAGCAAAATATCTAATTATGGTTGCATCCTACCCTTAAGCCACCATATACGCTAATTAATATTTTTCTCTCTCCTTTTTGAGATTTTTTCTCACATAATCACGGTAAAATTCACAAACCACGTTCTCTCTCTCTCTCTCTCTTTTCATACACTTTACTCTCCTCTCCCACAAAATCACGATTCAGACTTCTTCTCCCACCCACATTGCCTAGGTCTCCCCCATTATCACTCCCAGTTAGTTTCTCTCTAAAATCTCGGTTTTATTTGCTGATACAAGTTCTTGTGGTAAGTACTTAGCTTCTTAGATTTTGATACAAGTATTTAGCTTCTTCGATTTTGATACAGATTTTTGTTTGCTTCTTAAATAATAAACATTGTTATTGTTTACTCAATAGAAAGCTATCATTTTTCACTCCAATGTCGGATTCAACGTCACACAAGATGGTAACCAGAGGTATACCCACCAAAATTCTCAATTTTGATGGGCCCTCTTTCTCGTTGCAAATAACTCAAGCGGAGTCGAAATTTGCAGGTGTATCAGCAACTACATCTTCATAGAGAAAAACTAAATTATACAATGACAAATCGAAAGAAGTCCAAGTTGAGAAATCTTCAAAAGAAACAAAAATTCCAGTTGCGAAAAAGAGGAAAAAACCTATGAATGATTCTTCATGTGTCAAGGTTAAGGAAGTTGATGCAAAAAAAAAGCTCGGATACACAGCACGAAAAGGTAATTGTTATTGTATCAATATGTATTCAAAGTTGTTGATGTGATTTATGTGTACATTGATATTTCATAATTATTGATGTGATTTAGAAGTATGTTGATGTATTCGTATGTATTTAGATGTATTCATAAGTATTCAAACAATCCAGAACTCATTTGCACATTTACAATGTCATTCACTGAGTTGTGCTTACTTAGTCTATTATATATTGTATTTAAATGTATTTAGATGTATTCAAATTTACATTCACTGTATTTTCGTACTTATTACAGTGTTCCTTGCATATTGTATGTAGATATTCACTGTTTTGTACTCAATGGTATGAATTTGATTTTCGTATGTTGATGTATTTATATATATATATACAGCTACTTCCAGCATGTATTTCTTACTCCAATATATTTTTCATATTGTATCTAGTTGTATTTATATGTATTCATAACACTTAATGTGTTTATGTATTGATGCTGAATATGAAACCTTTTTTAAATTCTTGTTTGTATGCAGGAAATTAAACTGTTTGTGAAACAGCCGCCAATATTATCACCGCATATTTGTTCATATACAAACACAAACATAGTATCCGATCTCAATGAAAAACTTACTCCAGAACAATATAAAGTATTAAGTTCTATTTTGGAAGTCTCCTTGATATGGATCAGTGTGAGGTACAACATCAGCTCTTCAGGTGCTTCATGGTTTTGCAGTTAGAAGGAAGTACTGATGACGTATTTTCAATACACGTCAATGGTACAACAATTTCCTTCTCAATCAGGGAGCTCATCACTGGTCTCAAATGTGTTGGTGACCCACATGAATTTAAGTTCAACACAGAGGTGCCCAACCGTATTGTTCAGACATACTTTGGCGGTGCAAAGCTGGTTAAAAAGGAAGCTTTGTTGTCATG